AATATCAAACATATTCTTACAGCGCCAGGGTTCTTTCGACACCTCCTGGACCAGACTTTGGACCAGCACCCAGTCAGTCCCGGCGTCTTTAGCCTTGGAGGCTCTGCTTTCCCCCAGCTCGCAAATTCAGAGGTGACTTTGAGCGAGGCCGCAAGCCACACCATTACTGGCCACAAAGCTCAGCGGATGCAGATGGGGACGCAAACGCAAGAAGCCATCCTGACAGGCTGAGGCATAGGGGGATAGGAGGGGAGTGGGGCATTCCACCGAAACATTATGCGCTTCCTCCCTCCCTCTCCTTTGGTGTCACATGCGTTTAGATTGTAAGCCTGCAAGCAGCGGAGCTTTTCCTGAGTGTGTGTAAGCTGCTCTGGGAGGCGTTTTGACTGAGGAGAGGGGTAAAAATGCTTTAAATACATCAGTAAGGAAGAACAAGAAGGATGGAAGAGGGAAAAGCCCTGCTGAGTCAGACACGAATCCTCTCCAGCTCAGTACTGCTTTTCAAAGGAGACAACATGGTGCCCCACACGCATGACATTCAAAAGAAACCCTCCTCCCTCCCTCCCTCCCTCCCTCCCTCACACACACACACACACACACACACACACACACACGTGCACTCACTCATATTTCCCAGCCACTGGCATTGAGAGACATGCTACCTCTGATGCTGGGGTAACATAAACTCATTGCACAGGATCACAGAAAACTACCTTATAATGACTGGGTTCTGTTTGTTTGGTGCTACATCTGACTATTCATAACTCACATTTCTGTAACAACAGGGCAACTGGCTTAGAGAGAAAGTGTTTTAAAACATACCAAATCAGTCCTCAATGAATCAACGTGTTGGCAACTGGGCCAGCGCTGGTCGGAGACCCAACAGCATGATGCTAAAAGAGCATTTAGGACCTAAATTTTAGGTCACCACACGCCTGAACGAAACCTGCTTCTGAGGCAGCAGTCGAACTAGAGGGGCTTGCCAGCTGCTAAAAGAAAAAGAAAAGCCAAGCCAAAGTTGGCGGGGTCTGGGAAACAGGAGGGCGGGAGCGTTCGCAGCCTCCTGTGCTAACAGTGCCCACTGCTCGTCCTGGGGTTTAGATTCCAGGACACCCATTGCCTCTGGCAGCTCTGGGTGCTGGCAGAGTTGTTGGTGTGAGTGGGAAGGTTTTGGGTGCCTGTGCTTCGAGTGGCGGGGAGGAGGCGGGAGGCAGGATCTCAGCACCTGTCCAGCTGAGATTGAGTAACAGAATGCAGGCGGCCTTGGATAAAAGTGGCAGAGCTCGCCATTCCTCCTCCACTGGGCACCGTGGCGGGTGAGGAATTGTTCTTGGGCTATTTAAAGCGATAGGATGGATAGCATGTCAGCAGAACAAAGAACCGAGGACAAGGCTTCTGGGGAAACACAGATATAGATGATGACTTTAGCAGATCAGTCCTGCGGCCATACCCAAGCAGGAGAAGGTGGGGACGAGTGGGGGTACATTCCTGAATGAGCAGAATGTGGGCTGTACCACTGTGGACTTCAGGCTGTAGTGCCGAACAATTTTTTTATGATTAACCCCTTGCAAAGAGAAATGTAGCACTGCAGGGAGTAACTGATTTCCCTGCGGTGCTAGATTTCTGCAGGCAAGGAGGTTTGTGTAGCGGTTTTTTTCTCCAGGAAATGAGGGCAGTGCTCAGAGTATCTCCCAGGTTATGCTTTCATTGCCCTGTCATCGGCTCCTTCTTCCAAACTGCTCAGGCTGAGAAGTAAGGCAAGCGATCTCAACATCACCAGGACTTCACAGCGCTCTGAGAATTTCACTCTGGGTATTTTCAGCAGCACTCTGACCACTGGTCTGGCCAACCCACATGTTTTTCATTGATCCCTCAGGATTTGCTGGGCCTCAGCCAAGATCAGCTCCAGCCGTCGGGTTTTGGGACCCCAAGAAATTTCCTGTCACGTCCAGAGGAAGGGGAGTGGCTTGTGTAGCTCCAGGCTGGATGTTCCAAACAAGCACCTGGGCCAACTGAGAAGGTGCCTGTAGCCAACAGGCGAATTAATTGGAGTCCTTTGATAACTTGCCCTTGGTTAGACCCTGCTTGTGGGATCCCCTGGGCAGCTGGTTGGTCACTGTGTGTGAACAGGATACTGGACAGGAGGCGACTGGTCTGGTCCAGCATTAGGGTCCCTGTGTTCGTATGGGGCCCATCCCTACAAGATGTAGGGAGAGCAAGCAATTCGGATGGTTTTAACAGTGGGCTGGACAAGTTCATAGAGGAGAACCTATCTATGGCTACTTGTCCCGATGGCTATATGCCACCTCCCATTTCAGAGGCAGTCTGCCTGTATACATCAGCTCCTGGGGAACATGGGTGGCAGAGTGCGATCCTGTTTCAGAGGTCATCACTCCATGGGTTGTGGGTTTTCAGTGGACAGCTGCTTGGCCACTGCGTAAGCAGAATCCGACTAAATGGACCCTGGCTCTGATACAGCAGAGCTCTTCGGAGGTGCTTCAGTCTGTATGCAAATTATCCCTGCTAATGCAGAAAGAAAACAATGATGCTTGATCCCGATTTTGAAAATTCAAATGCATTTGTTCCACGGATCCATCCAGGATCTTGGTCATAAATGCATGTAATAGTCTAATGATTGTTAATGATCTCTTACTACTACCACCACTACCACTTCTACTATTTTGTCCATTTGTTTGCCTCCATCGCAAGAAAATTCACTGCCAAAATGAAGTCCTGCTTGGGCTACAATTCTGGACACTCTGCCCGCTTCGCTCAGCCATGCTTAAGCTGCAGCAGACTGAATTAAGACTAGCCTGGCAGCTTTAGCAGAAGGTTAAACCCAGACCAGGGTCTGCGTATCTGCCAGCACTGAGTCTGTGTGCCCAGACAACACCCAGCAATTAGCGTATAGTTAGTTTTAAGATCTGAGCACGGCTGCCAAGCTGTGCACTTTAGGCAGGGAATGCTCCAGGCTTTGACCCAAAGGTTGCCTCTTCATATTCCCAGGAGATGGCAGAAGCAGGTGAAAAGCGGGGAGTTTTTCTTCAAGAAGTTTGGGGGCAGAAGTGATATTAGAAGGGGTGTGTGTGTGGGGAGGGGGGGGGAGACATACATATCTCCAGGCCTTCTGCCAATGCCCACTGTGTCTCCAGAGGCCAGAAAGTCCACACTCCTGAATTAGAGGCAGGCAGTGTGCACAAAGTTCTCAGAATGTTAACTTCTGCAAATGTGGGTTTCACGTGACTTTCCTCCGCTGCTGTTAAGAATAGTGCGGCATCCGCAAATGCCATCTTCACAAGCCTCGACCACAACTACAGGTCTTCCCTGCACGGGCCTCCTGCACTCTCCAAAGATATGGGGCCTCCACTGCCCCTAATGCAGCAGAGAAACGAGAGTGGCCGAACCCCTTAATTCCAGGCATGAGAGGACCGGTGGTAGCATCGGTAGGATCCAGGGGAGCTCTCTGTGTGTGCTCAGAGGCAGAGCCTATGCTGTACTGCCAGAGAAGCTGGTGCAAAAGCATCGTCCTGTGAAGAAAGACAGTGCCTGGAATCTTTGAGAACAGCAAGGTGTTCACCCAAAGCTCCTGTTCTTACATGCCATCAAGCTGCCTCCGACTATATGGAGATGGGTAGAGACCTGTCCTCCCCTGCAGAGGAGGGCAGGACGCGCTCCCACGGAGCAAAGCTCAGGGAGCCAAGGTTCAGTTTGGATGCCAGGAAGCACTTCCTGACAGTCAGGACCCCGAGGGTGTGGACTGGGCTTCCACAGGAGGTGGTTGAGGCCCCATCGGTGAGGGTCTTCAAAGACTGGCTGGACATGCACATGGTGGGCATGTTGTGAGCGGAGCTGGCTGGAGCTGGGGGTCACACTAGATGGCCCGGGAGGCCCCTTCTGACTCTCTCCATTTCTATGTTATGGTGTCCCTATAAAGGAGTACCCTCCCAAATGCCCAGTCCTTTACAGCCCTGCTCATCTCTTCTCAGCTCAAGGCTGCACCTTCCTTGATGGAGCCAATCATTTCATTTTTCTTCCTCCTTTGATCTTCCCTAGCATGGTTGTCTTCTCCAGCGCCTCTGGCCTTCTCATGGTGTCCCCAAAGTACGGCAGCCTCGGTTTGGTCATTTCTGCTTCGAGGGCAAGCTCTGGCTTGATTGGATCGAGCAGCTACTTGTTCGGCTTTGTGTCAGTCCAAAGTATTTGCAAAGCTTGGCTCCAGCACCATGTTTCGATCTCAATCATCTTCCCCTGTCAGCTTTCTTCACTCACCTGCTTTCACATCCATATACAGTGATTGAAAAAGCTCCTACCCCCTCTGAAAAAGACAGGGCCGGGGCAAGAGGAGAGAGATGATGAAGAACTCTCTGATGAAGAATGAGAGTGATTGATGAAGATGGGTGGCTCTTTTGACTGAGATAGGCTCTTTCTTTGTGGGGGGGAGGGATCCCCTCCCTCTCGCGTGTTCTAAGTCTGTGCCCTTCTACTCTGATCTCACTTCCATCCGCAGGCAAGCAGCCGGAGAACCAACGGCTCCTAGCCGGCACGGGAGACCCCCACTCTGCCCCCCACCGGAGGAGGGGGCTGTGCACGGGCCCAGTGAGCTGGTTCCTGGCACCTGGCAGGCTGCAATAGGAGAAGCGAGGGGGTGGGGGAGGGAGGGGGCTCTGTTGGGACAAAGCGGCACAGCGGCGCTTTGGGGTTTCTATTACTGGCTCCCAGCTGTCCCCCGGGGAGCCCAAATATGGGCACTGCTCATCAGACGCAAGAATCTCCCACGGCCCCAGGCCAGGCCCAGGACAATGGAGGGGCTTTTTGGACAGCTGGAGGGGCCCCTCGGCCCGAGAAAGGCAACTCCTCCTGGCCCGCTGGCAGGGAGGACGCGTACAAAAAGGGCCGAGAGGCAGCGGGGCTGGCGCACACTCTCCCGAGGAAGCAGTGGGCCTCGCTCCGTCCCACCCGGACACCCGGCTGGTTGCACCGACTGCCACCCCCACCCCCACCATGGAGGCCATCAAGAAGAAGATGCAGATGCTCAAGCTGGACAAGGAGAATGCCTTGGACCGAGCGGAGCAGGCCGAGTCCGAGCAAAAGCAAGCCGAGGAGAGGAGCAAGCAGGTGGGAAGACGCCCGGTGTGGGTTCCGCTTGCGTCCCGGGGCAAAGAGCAGGCGCTCTGCGGGAGATCCCCTACGCCCGCTGCTCCCCTTCTGGTGCCTCCCACTTTTTCAGTTGTGTTGGACTGGGATTCCATCATTCCTAGCCATCATGGTAGACCTGCTGGCTGGGGATGATGTGAGTGGCAGTCCCAATATATTCAGAGGGCACCTGTTTGAGGAAGATTATCCTAGTTGTGGGAGCTAGTGTGGTTTAACGTTGGATTATGATTGGCATGTTGTGTTCGAATCCCCTCTCTGCCACAGAACTCCCTCATGGCCTTGCATCGGCCAATCTCTCTTTTCGCAGCCTCCCTGTCCGACCTTGGAAGGGTGTTGTGGGGTTTAAGTGTGGGGGCAGCCTTACCTGGCCTGATGCGTTGGAACTACGACTCCCACCTATCTCCCCTGACTAGTAGCCATCCTGGCTGGGGATGCTGAGAGCTGGAGTCCAGAAACAATCACACAGCCTCCTTGGAAGCCCCCCCCCTTTTTTTTTACTGATATTTAGTTAAGAAATGTCATGGAGGTTTTTGTTTTATTGTGGGATCTTTGATGGGGAATTTTGTAGAAAATAATATTATTTGTGTGCGCGTGCAAACACATGCAGGAACATGCCACCTGGGAAACTGCAGCTAAGTGCCAGGATTTGCTTTCAGTTACAGATCCACACAAGATCATCATTGAAGAGGCGTCCCTAAACATGCACAGAAAGCTTGTGGGTCAGTTCTGCTTCTCTTAAGTGTACAGGCTCCATTCCCCTCTTGCCAAATGCATGTAATGTTGGAGCTCACTGTAGCCAACTGGTAGTGAGGGAAACACACTCAGCGTATGCTCAGAGGGCATCTCAGCTATACAGCTCTGGTGCCTCCTGCATCCTGGAAGTATGTTTGATGGGTAGCAGGAAGGAAGGGAAAGGGAAACAGTTCCAAGCTTTAGCCGCAAGGAGCCCTGGTGTTCAGGAGAGAGGCAAGTAACTTCTGCACATGCTCAGAGGCCTGCTTGACAATGACTTTTCCCAAACAAGGACTAAATTGTAGACCAGGGAACAGATTTTGGGCTCCTTGTGATGAGCCCTGGCACAGAGAACCCTTTCTAACTTGCCTCCTTCCTAAGGGTGCATTGACTGCAGCGACAGAGCCACTTCCCAGTGAGGGACACGCAGCCCCGTGGCCACGCAGAGATCATGCCGAAAGGGTCATTCACATGACGCCAGAGCAGGATTTGGGATCTGACAATCCCTTCCGGGCTGAGGCGAGAGAGCCCTCATTCGCTTGGCAGCAAGGCAGAGACACTCTGCGCACGCTCGGAAGACCCTCTGACAAATAGTCCATGTGATCTAGGGCTGGGTGTTGGATCTAAAAACAGGGCATTGGCCACTGTTCACTGAGCATGGACATGCCCTCCTCTGTCTTCCTTGGGGACAGGGCAGGTGGCCGCAGAAGGCAGAAAGAATCGGCCTTTCGGAGCCCCCGTTTCGCATTCCTTGAGCCTGACCCAACTCTTGGCACACCAGGGGAAGGGAGGACCAGCAGTGGGCGCTCAAGATGGCTCCAGGGTGACTGAGCAGCTGACAGCAGGGAGGGAGGAGGACAGGGCATGTGAGGCTTGGCCCAGACTGTAACGGTGGGGGTCTCAGGTTGCTGCCCCCCCATCACATGGACGGCACGAAGGGGCAGCCTTTGCCAGGGCCAACACGGCAGGGAAAGCCTCGAGCCAACTGGGCAGAGAATGCCCTCTGGTCTGGGAGAGGGTGTACTTCTTCACACAAATAACCATCTGCACATCTGCACATAAATAATCTATAGTTGTTGTTACTATATTCCTCACAAAGGTTATTTGTTATTATTATACTCTGCACAAGTACTAATAATAAATAGAATAATCTAAGCTATGACACAACACATAACAATGTGTATGATGAGTATAAATAATCATCATAAATACAATATTAAATATACTAACTTTACCACAAGAAACGAGAGAGATAAAATAATAAGGAATATAATGCTACAGAATATTTATTGTTAATACAATGAGGAGATGGAGAACATGCAGCCTTCCAGATGATGTCGGACTGCAACACCCATAATCTCTCATCACTGGTGGTGCACATTTAAGGCCCAGCCCTGTGCATGTTTAGACTGGAAAATGTCACAACTCCCAGCATGACTAGCTGGGGCATGTGAGGCTTCTCCTGGGCTAAACATGTGCAGGATGGCGCCTTTGCTTTGCACAGCAGCCAAATGGAAGCCCCAGTGGGAAGTCTCCAAACTCAGCAGGCCAGCGACAGCGTCCTTCTGGCTGGTGGCTGACAGACGGCCTCTGATACTGCGGGAGCCCGAGCGGCTGAGAGCACGGGGCTGGGACTTGGGCAACCTCGGTTCTGGTCCCCACTCAGCCATGGGGCCAACTGGGTGACTTTGGGCCAGCTGCAGACTCTCAGTCCAACCAACCCAACAGGGTTGTTGTTGCGGGGCTAAGACTGAGAGGAGGAGGAGGAGGAGAATGCTGTCAGCTGCCCTAAGTGTAATTGAATGAATGAGCAGCCGCAGTAGCCACAGAGAGCAGCCAGCAGCTCTGTCTTGCATGGATTTAGGTAATCCACCGCTAGATCTTGTGGCAGCAATTTTCAGAGTTCGAAAAGTTTGCTGGGTGAAGAAGCCCTTCCTTGGGCCCAAGCGAGAGAAAGGTGTGGAGCAGAGGGGCCAGAATGCTGCTCCTGGCCCAAGTCGGGGGCCGCACACATCATTTTATACCCCTCCGTCCTGCTGCCTCCCGCCAGATGGTTCGCTCTGCCTGTTCTGTGCTCTGGCCCTCCTGGCCACCAGAAGCAGTTCCAGCCTGTCCACCACTCCTTGGTTTCTCTCCTTCTCCCTCCCCATGACCAGCATCTTATCTGCACATCAGCCCTGTGAGGTAGGTTAGGGGAGACAGAGAGGATGCCTGGCCCAGGATCGCTCCCTGAGCACCATAACGGAGTGGCAATCTGATGTCAGCCCTGGCTGACCCGAGACATTACACCAGGCAGGCACACACAGTGTTCCCACATTCCTCTGGCCCAGTCAATGTGGCAGAGCTGGTGAAAACTCTCCGAATGTTCCCAGAGGCACTTCCTGGTTTCCATTTTTCAGGGCTGGGCACCGAGGAGAAGATGTTGTCGCGACTAATCCGCGTTGCCGCCCGCACTGACCATCAGAGGGGGGAAATGAGAGGGCAGGGCTGCTGGTTCAGTACCCCGTTTACAGGCTTCCTGGAGCCTAGAATTTCACTGGGGCCACTGGGATAAACTAGCTGGCCTGGAATCCAGCAGGGACCATCTTGCAGGGAGAGTTAGAAACGGAAAAGCTCCATGGTCAACTGCAGTCTGTCTCTGAATGCTGGGTGGAACAGCAGGAGAAAGAGGCTTCCTGCCCCTGAGACGCCTGGCTGACTGTCATCAGAAAAGCGGGTGCTGGGCCTTATGGTCTGATCAAGCAAGGCTCTTCTTAGGTTACGAGTCCTCATGAAAGAAGAAGCACTGTCACGTTCACAGGCAGACAACCTTTGAACAACTGCAAGCTACCCCAAAGGCAGTGGTAGACAAACTTAACAAGAAAGCAAATAACGATACTGCCCACTGAAAATTTTGATTACACTAAAGACCACATTGCAACTTCTTACATTCCCGGGTTAGACTTGACAGGCGCATGGACAGAGAAACCAGGTTGTTTAAGGTTACATTTTGCATTTCTGTTGCTTGGAGGCAGCAAAGAGTAATTTATGCTCCATGGCTATTAAGGCCGGAATGACCAAAAAATAATAATAATAATGCTGCAGGGTGTTAAGAGACTGGAAATTGCAACCTCTGCTTTGATGAGGGTCTCATGGTGTCCTTTTAAGGCAACAGAGAGCATGGTGAGATGCCGTAAGTGCTTGCATGAGCCTGAGATGACCCTGTGAAGCTCTAGACATGGGTAGACCAAACCCTCTCCAGACAAGGCTTCTTCTCTGGTTGCAGCTCTCGGGCGGCCCCCGTCACAAGGGGCATCAGGGCCAGTGCTGAGGATAGGCAAGGCCAGGCGCTTGCCAAGGGACCACAGCTCTGCAGGGGCCCCTCAGCAAGACGCCCTTGGCAGCCGCTTCCCCTCTTTCCCCCTGCAACAGGCTTGTTCACCCGCCTCTCGCAGTGGTGTGGATGCTGGACACAATGATACGGCAGAGCGGGAAAGCTTGTGCCCGACTGTTGCACCAGCTCTGCTTGCCAAGCAAGCCACTGGGAGCAATGGCAAGGAAGAGGATGAGGAGCGAGTGCAGCTGGTGGCCCTGGCAGTGAGCAGGTAGATTCCCCGACGGAGGCAGTCTGTCGAGCGCGTCTCGCCCGAGGTCCCACGAACTGGGAGATGGCACTGAGCAGTGCTCTGGATCTTGGTTAAATGTTTCCCGAAGGCTGCCAACTGTCCAGAAATAAGCTGCCTGGCCCGCTACTGTGCCTTAAAATGTCAGATCTTTAGAGATCAGCCAGCAACGCTTGCTATGATGGGGAGAGAAATTGCTAGGATGTGCTGCAGTTTAAAGGCAAAGGAGCAAAGGCTGGTGCCAGCGGTTAAGAGCCTTGCCAATTCTTCACAATCACGCAAGGGGCTGTGGCTTTCTGCCATCATTCTTCATTGCCTTACAAGGGCATCATGAGACTCTCATCCAAGCAGGGAGAGATGCGAGGCGAGTGTTGGGAGTGAGGAGCCATAGCTCAGTGCTAGTGTGGGGGCAGAACAGCCCTGAGGTAATACTTAGAGATCCGCTTGAAAAGGATCGGGGTGCAGGTGCGATGGGGAAATGCTCCTCAGCCCAGCGTGCCGGAGGAACTGCTACCAGCTGGGCAAACACTCTGTGCCAGAATGCAAGGAATGCTCTCCTGGATCAGACTCTCTAGTCCTGCTCGCTCTCACACAGCGGCCAAACAAAGACGCCCACAAGCAGGAGATGAGTGCAACAGCACCCTCCCACCCATGTTCCCCAGCAGCTGGAGCACATGGGCAGACTGCCTCTGGTAAAGGAGATCACATTTAACCATCAGGACTAGAATTCCATTGAAGGAAGCTAAATTTCTGTCAGTAGCACTGAGAGCGGTTCATATCAACACCACGCATTATTTGAAAAGGGAATGAGTGTACCCAGAAAGAAAGGCGGGATCTAAATGCACAGTAGTAGCAGCAGTAATATAGATTTATGTTTTACACTTCAATTATGCTTGCTGTCGGATTCTGAAGTAAGGTATGTGTTATTGCTTGGTTTGGTCTATTGACTGCAAGGCATTTGATGGCCCGAACAACAAAACCAGCAATAAATGCAATCATGGTAGGAGAAGGCGAGAATAGGGTAGGGGGTTTTCAGGCCCTTCTTATATGTCCGCTTTGCTGACACTTGCTGAACCCACATTCTAGAAGTGCGATGCCACTGCAGAGCATACCCTGCCACAACTGGGTCACTGCTCACGTCCTACAAGGAGCACAACGGTGAGAATATAGCCCAGATGTTTTGGAGCGCAACTCCCAGCATCCCTCACAATTGACCGTGCTGGACAGGACTGATGGGCATCAAAGTCAGAAACATCTGGAGGTGTCTAGGCCTAAGAAAGCATAGTTTAAACCATCGTTTCAATGCTGTAAAGCTCACTGTGGACCTTGAGGTCAAAGCAAAGGCTATCAGCTGAAGGAAGCCCAATCCAATTCTAATTCTAGCAAACACAATTAGGACATAATCCTAGGCGTGTTTGGATAGAAAAGGAAGGCCTGCAGCTCCAAGCATTCCCCTGCCGTTCATGCTGTTGTGCTGGTAAGACAGGAGAGCCAGCCTGAAAAACTTTAAAAATACACATGCATATATATAACACATGCGTTCATTTTGGTTCTAGGTCTACAGTGTGGCTCTGTGGTAACCCTCTCCCCCCCCCCACCCCGCCCCTCTCTCTCTCATTTCTACAGCTGGAAGATGAATTGGCGGCCATGCAGAAGAAACTGAAGGGAACAGAAGATGAGCTGGATAAATATTCAGAGGCTCTCAAAGATGCACAAGAAAAACTAGAGCTGGCAGAGAAAAAGGCAGCTGATGTACGTAATGGTGGAGGGAGAACAGGGGATACCCCGGCCTCACACGCTCACATGCGCACTCCATTTGAGAAGGACGTGTTGCCGTGGTGGGGAATTGTTCGCCAGTACTTACGTTTGGCTGCCCAACGTCATGCATGAGCTACCAACCCTGCTGTGGCGTGACCCTCTGACCCCAGGGCTCCTGCCCTGCTTTTCAGGCTGGATCAGTGCCAGGGAGGCCCTTCTCTTCCTCCAGGGCTGGGGTCCAGCGCTGGCATGCAGGGTTACCTGCCAAAGGCCAGCAGGAGCCCACGGTCAGCAGCCCTCCCCTTCCCCACTGCTGCATGCTTGCTCTCCCCAGCAGGAGGGGAGAGACCTGCTCCCTGGCTTGCTGCTTGCCCAGCGGTAGCAGCAGTGAGAAAGAGGATGAGCAGGAAGAGCTGTTGCAAAGTCCCTGAGGGGCAGGGAAGGGGGTCTTGCCACAGGGTCCTCTAAAACCTCAAGCTGGCACTGCCCTCTTCCATGAAATCTCTAGTTGCATCTACTATGCCACACCTTTCCAGCCTCCCACTGGCATAGGGGCAAGAAGATGCAAGAGCAAAAGAGAAGGTTTAAGGCAGGGACGGGGAAGCTCTGCCCCATGAGACAATTTGGACTGCAAGGACAGCCCTTCCCCAAGCTCTGCCTCCTGGAGCCTACCAAGGGCTTGGGAGGAGAATGCTCAGATGGCAGCTGGACAGGCACCTGAGAGGGATGGTTCAGCCTGGAGTCCTGCACTGAGCAGAGGTTGGACCCGCTGGCCCCTTCCAATGCTACTATTCTATGATTGCTTTGCAATGAAGCCAGGGCTCAGAGTGGAGTGCACTTCCCCCCAGTGCGATGGACAGGGTGGCTTTGCTCTCCCAGGGGCAGTCCCTGGCAGTCCAGCCAGGGAATATGGCCATCGTGCAGACATTATAATAGCCCCCACAGAAAGTCTGGTAGGGGGTCATCCAGCCCCCAGGTGGAAACCACCCAATGATTGGTGGTCAGGGGAAAGAGGGTAGAGCCAGGGGGGAACGGATGGGTGACCCTTTCGGAAAGGGATCCCAGGCAGGTTGGATTTCACTCCAGAACCTGAGGTCTTGCACCTCTGGCGTAGACAACACTGACAGATCAAAGCTCTGGCTCAAACCAATTCTTATTAAATCAATCCTGATTTAAACCCACAAGGACAGGATTCTTCCCTTGTTTTTAAGGAAAGAGCTATAATTCCATGACATGGAATATGCTTTGCATTAGAAGGTCTGAGGTTCAAACCCCAACATCTCTAGGTAGGGCTGACAAGAACACTTGTCGGAAACTGGTTGGTTCTACTTCTAATATGGTGGGGCCTAAACATTGCTTGGGAGATGCTGGGGACTAGGTTGGAGGGTCTGTCTGTAGTTTTTTCCCCCTAGCAAGGCCAGGCTCAGAAACAGGAACAGGAACAGGAGGCCACCACTGAAATCTGGAATCTGGTGCTGGATCTGGAAGCGTTGTCTATACATTGCTCCAACAAGAGGCAAAGCAGGATGGAGCTTAAGTCAGAGTGTGGTGGCATTTAGACCATGTGGGCCCACCTCCATTCTGACTGAGGTTCTGTCGCTGCGTTTGAACAACCTCAAGCTGTAACCATGAGGAAGTGTGTGGGGCACACTAGTTTCCTCGTGGCCCAAGTCCTCAGAATGAGTGACAGTGCAACTTTACCTGTATGCAGAGAAGCCAACTCCTGGAGTCTTTCTGCACAACTGCGACCTGGGCAGGCGGGTGCTTTGTGATAGTCAGTGTTTCTCCTTGAGCTCTTGTTCAGAAGTTTGGGATGATGGTTTGGGATCCTGGCTTCCAACAAAAATCCCGGAGAACCGCTGCTAGGCAATGCAGACTGTACCGAGCTAAGCTTGGTCCAAAGACCAACTCACTGTAAGGTGGCTTCATATGGTCTCTTATATTTACTTGAAACTAGCCCAAGTGACCTGAAAAAATGTTTGTATTCGACTTGTTTCCCAAAATGTGCTGACTAGCAATTTTACCATAAAAGGAAGTACTTTGTGAGGACTCTCTCACATGCTAGAGAAAGGCATCCTCCTTGGTCAACCGTCTGCAATCCAGTGTCCTCATGCTTTGGATCTCAACCATGAACCGGCCCAACCAGCATGATTAATGCCAGGAGTTGTAGTCCAAAGCATCAGATGAGACAAGCTGGGTCCAAATCAGTGCGTTTCGAAATTTATGCGGGGAAGAAGCTCTGAGATGGCTCAGAAACAGGGGTTTTTCAGTGAGAGGATCCGAGAATGACCGACAGCGTTCCCAGCATGACCCGTCTAACCATGCCATCTTTGTGTTAGAGTGCATGCTTGGTTCATATGACACAACACCGACTGGGTGCTGGCTGATGCTGAACAGTGCATTGTCGAACCGTGGGTTGTTGCGTCGTCTGATCCCATCCATACCAACCATACCAGCAAATTATGGTGGACAATACACAGAACCCAACAACCATGGATTTTTTTCGTGAGATAGTCACGGTTAATGTGCCACCTAGAAGATCCCCCAGAATCCTATGTGGTGTGTCAGCATTCCACAAGAGACACCCATGGGTGTTATCTTTTCCAAGGGGGAAAGGGCGCCATTCCAGCATTGAAAAAGGAGAACGCCAATGTCCTAGGGAGGAATAGAACTGGCACGGAGACCGCCCCCCTCCCCGCCCATTTCCCATGTCTTGACTTCTTGGCAGGCGTAACGGAAGTTGTGGGAAGTCAGCGGTCTAGGAAAAGGAAAGGCCAAGGTTCTGAAAATAGCCTTATCTTTTACACCAAACCTTGTGGTTAAGCTCGTTCATAGCTGAAGGCTCACCAAGCTGCCCCGATGGTTGCACAATGCCAACCGCTCTCGGGAGAGGCAGCTCTGACCCATTTACCCCTGTTGGGCCTTTCTCCAACTGCGGAGACGCTTTAAGAAGCTGGCACAAACACCCGCAGTGCAGGATTTCCTTGTGAATACCGTGATTGCTGCCAGGCAACCTAGGAGGATATTAAGGGTGCTTGATTTCTGGCCTCTCCAGTTAAGAGGTTTGAGAAGCAGGTTTTAAGCAAAGGCCCTTCTGTGCTTGACACCTTGGCAAGCTGCTGCCAGTCCGTGCTGACGATAATGGACTATGGATAAAGCAGCTTTCTGTGCCAGCGAGGGCCCATGGGGCCATGTAGGACACCACCATAAAGGTCCTGGGTTCAATTCCCAACAGCACCAATTCTCCCAGTACTATGCAGACAAAACTATCTTCTGTCCTGATACTGACACTGGAATCTTTGGATTTAGGGGAAGGCATTGTCCTGGTACTGAACCCAGCTAATAAACCATGGGGAACAACCCATAGGTCACAGCCCAACATCAAACCATAGGTGATCTTCATGGGTTGGTCATGGTTAACAATCCATGGCTTGTTAGCCCTGCTGGGTTCACACAACATGATCATCCATGCTTCCACAACAAGCCACAGTTCGGCAACAACCCACACCCACCCTCTGAGTGCGTATTATTGTGCCGTTCAGCCACTGATTGGTTACAGAGGCAGCTTCCTACATCCTTGTTTTAAGCAACCCTTTATTCAGAATAGGGACTGGAATCTTATTTTATTTTTTAGTGTTGGAAAACATTACAAAGTCTCTGGTTCAATCCCTGGCATGTCCAGGTGGGGTTGGGAGAGTCCCTTTTTTGCTCAAGCCTGTGAAAGGCACCTGCTGGTTGGAAGAGAGCTAGGTGGGTATTTGGTCGGATGCAGCATAAGGCAAAATGAGTGTCTCTAGAAGTAGGCCTAACTAAAGTCCTTGGGCCTGACAGAGGCCCATATTTTGGAGCAACAGCCAAGAAGAAAAGCATTACCATAGTTTACTGATAAGGAACCTGATTCAGGAGAAGCTACTTTTGATGTTCATTTTTATATAGCCCTTATTCAGAATCGCAAGGACTGGAATCTTACTTTGGGGTTAGAAGTACCAGAACTTAGGGTTACAGCGCATGCATTGCAGCAGCAGCTCAAAATTGTACATCCCGGAATTTCCAGGCAGGCTGAGGAAAAGAGCCCCTCTGTGAAACCCTGGGGAGCTGCTGCCTGCCAGTGTAGGCAACGCTGAACCATGTGGAGGTTCCACATTAAACAAAACAATCTCACTTTTAATATATTGTTTTGTATTGTTTATTTTATTTCCCTGCTGTTTGCTGTTCCATAATCTGCTTAGATATGGAGTGGTAAACAAATATTGTAAATACTGTAACATGAAACAAAGAGGCTTCTTCAGAGGGTTGGGACAGACTGTCACTTCTGCCTAAAATATGATGAACTACTGTTTGGCTAGTCAGTGTAAATGGAAGGAAGCATCCAGGTGTGTTGCACATCAACTCCAAGAAGCTCCTGCCAGGAAGGCCAAAGCTTGGGAATGGTGGGAGATGAAGCCCAAACATCTGGTGAACTTCTTTCTGCTCAACCCTGGAATACAGAAGCTGATGGACCAATACTCAGCTCAAATAGGAAATGCCTTCCTATATTCCCATAAAGAAAAAATAACCAGAAACTGTAGCTTAGCACCCCAACCCTCAAAAACAGCTTGCTGAAATCAGCTTGCTGAAATTTTCCTTAAAATGTGGATTATCTCATTGGAAACTAAGGGACAAAGGAAACTCTGAGTCACTTGTGCTTTGGGGTTTAGGAATGAGTGACATCCAAAAGCTGGGAAGATTGACAGCCCGACATTTGGGATAAGTAGAAACCCAAGTGGTCCTGTCCCCTGTTGCCCGAGGATGTGCTGGAAAGGTATGCTGTGACCTGATCCTGCATACCGGACTGATTTTTGTCGTATTGTTAGTGGCAGTCTCTAAGAAAACAAGCACGTCGAGTTTCTCCAGGCCTCAAGGCTGCCCCATCCATCAAGTGCCTAAGGGCTGTCAGCGCCTCTTGCAGCTGCCACCCGGCATTCGGAGGGGATTATCTGTACAGATTTATCGCCTGCAAACATTTGACGGACAGACGAGCCTTTCGCCAGCTCCTCACACCGCTCCTTCCTGATTCCGCTTAACAGCGGCAGTGGAACAGGCACGGGTGCAGGGCGACCTTTTGGCATGTGGTCTGCTCAGGGCAAAAATCATCAGTGCTTGGCCATCTCCAGGATGACCCAAAAGACGCATTTGCTGCTGCCTGGAGCCAGGCAGCCGGCAACCACGGGCTACCACCTGGGCCCCAGCGCCCTGCGAGGGCCCGCTGCCAATGTACCATTTAGATTTCCCACAATATTACAATCCAGCATCATTCCAGGGCAGGGACGCAGAACCTCAAGGTCTAATCCCGCCTCCTGGGGTCCCAGTTCCCAGAAGGCTCCACCGGCTGCCCCTGGACTCTCCTCTCTTACCTCACCTCAAATCCTGTAGTGATTTCCCTTTACATTTGTGCAGTTCCCCACATATTAAAGCTTGAAACGCTGCTGGCAGTTTAGAGTTCCTAATTAAAACAGGCTGGACTCTTTTGCCCCACCGTTTTTGCCTTCTGCCCCACCCACCAATGAATGTGGTTCTCAAGAACTTCTCCAAAACAGAACCTAGCCCTCGGTCTGAGAGAGGCTCAGCACTGATGCTCCAGGGCACTGTGGGAAATTAGACTGGCAGCTAGACCCACCCACCTATATCCAGTGCTATTCAGGGCACTGTCGTGATCACCAGGTACGCCCACGAGAGAGGATGGAGCCCACCTGAAGGACATTTTGCCCAGGACCCCCTCCAAGGCTGGTCTTGGTCCTAGAAACGCCCCCTTCTGGCCATGAGCCACGCAACTCTGGGAGTCCACTGTGAAGGACGGCACCTTGCACACCTCTTTTTGTGATGTATACTCTCTGGAGGGATGGCCGCCACAGCACCACGGGATTCCCAAGATGCTTGTGAGGCTTCTGAGGCAGCAGCAGTTTCTGGAGCTAGGCGGCAGCAGCAGCCGGGGCTCTGCACAGGGCCCACTGCAGCCTTTGCCTGCAGGGTCCTTTCTCAGAGGAAGGCTTTGTGGGTAAGATGCCTGGAAACTGCCTGCATCACCATCAGTTTGTGGCAACAGAGGCGGGAGGTGTTTAAAGCAGCCTTCCCCAGCAGGAGTGCCGAGTATACCTTGAAGGCATGAGGTTGGGCATGTCTGCTTTGAAACCACTTTAAATCTAAGGCAAGGAAAACCAGAGGTGGAAGAGGCGGCGGCGGCAGCAAGCTCTTCTGCCTTAGGTGGGGCGGTATCTGGCCCTACATTGCTTCCACCACCAATTTCACTTTGTTCAGAGAACTGCCCAAAGCTGGGAATGGCAGGAATTATAGAATTCATACCACCTGCTCAGTGCAGGACTCATGTCTCCCATCCAGATTCCAACCAGGCCTGACCCTGCTTAGTTTCTAGGATTAGGCAGGGTCAGGCACTTCATTCTTTGCTCTTATGTCTGGCCTAAGACCTGTTGCCATTGCAAAGGCCAACTTTGAATGCTGTGGACAAGGAATAGCTGGGGAGCCCTTGAATGTTGCTGGACATTCCTGAAGGAGAGTCCTGGGGATTGAAATGGGTCCCATTGCCAGTGACAGCAGAAAGTTACCAATCAGTCATGTTTGTACAATGAACAATGCAAGATAAGAGACCTTAGTTTGCACCGTATCTACAGGAAAACAGGTTGAGCGTAACAGATGCCATTCAGAGGTGTGTGCGTGCATGTGGGAGGCTGGGCAGGTGGATGCGTGGATGGTACATGGCAGACAAAGACCTCGATTTAAAAATAAAAGGAAAATATTCGTGGGAGCTGACTCCACCCTAAAGCCACGGGCTGTTTTGTGGACCCGTGGCTTTCGGGTGAGGAGCCTCTTTCAGCTCAATGGTCATATCCATTGAGAGCCAGTGTGGTGTAGTGGTTAAGAGCGTGGGACTGGGACTCAGACGATCTGGGTTCTAGTCCCCGCTCAGCCATGGAACCAACTGGGTGACTCTGGGCCAGTCACAGACTCTCAGCCCAATCTACCTCACAGGGTTGTTGTGGGGATAAGATAGAGGAGGAGATGTAAGCTGCCTTGAGCCCTTTGTAGGAAAAAGGCAGGATATAAATCAATCAATCAATCAATCAATCCCACTTTGAAGAGGCTCTTCTCGGCTGCATACTGTGGGTGGGTGGGACTGAAGGCAAAGGGGGGGGGTCCAAGGAGAAATGGGTGAAGCAAAGGTATTGGCATACAGTAGCTTAAAGTTCATACTGCCATGAATTACATCCTAAGAGAAGCAGTGCAACCTTTTGGAATGGGGGAAAATATGTACAGAAGCTGGAATGAAGAAATATCTGGGGAACACAGAAGTACTGAATGTGGCTCCGAGACCTAAGGCTCCCCAGCTATGAGATAAGAGTACTGAACGACAACAGGGCTCACGCCGAATCAAAGCCTCACTTGTCAAGGGCAAGCTGAGTCTGCTCTGGCCAGTCACCATCTCTTTGTCTGACCTACCTCACATAGCCGTCATGTGGATAAAATAGTGCAGGGAGGGGCAAAGGCAGGGCGACTTAATTTATACTGTTAATTTATATTATTTTAAGGAAGTTTATTTATGGATGCGAGCCGCCCCGAGGCTTCGGCGAATGGGGCGGCATAGAAGCCTCCTAAATAAATAAATAAATAAATAAATAAATAAAGGCAGGTGTACACTACTCACAGGAACTATGAACTATGAGGTTGATAGTAAGTACGTGCTTGTTCCTGAAAGCCAGGTGATACGGAGGAAGCTTGGATGATCATAACATTGTTATGGGAGGAGATGGCTTGCCAACTCAGGCAGTACTCAAACTGCTGTTCTGCTTGGAGCGAAAGAAAGCGAGTGTCCCCCCCTTTTTCCTTTTACAAGAACAGCTTCCTTAGATCCTGCTATTGCTCCACACCTTGATTCAGCCTGGTGAACATTTTTCAGGCGTGGCTGCCTTGTGACAGTACAGTTTGCTCATTTGAGACTCTAGAGGTAAAGAAGGACTATCCTTTTAAGTGGTAATGTGTAATATTTCATTCAAATTGTGGTGAGCCAGCCCTGGAGTGTTTTTTTTGGGGGGGGGGCTTCTGCCAAGAGAGGGCTCAGTCGTGTGTCCCAAACTCTGCTCCTAATGCTTTTTTTTTTTCTTTTTGCAAAGACCCTACCCAAGACACCTTCCCTAAAACTGGCCAGCAGAGGGGGCCAGAAGACACATTCCTTCTCTCCACAGTTATTAATTCGCCAATCCCAGTCGAGAGCACAGCATTTTAAATGTGGGTTGGGGTTCTTTTTGGTGGCCTGCGCAGTTCTGCCTGGCTGGCTTACAGACAAGGAAGGAGGAGACCCTGTGAGAAACCTTAGCCACTGGTTCCTTGAGCTTTTCAGTCATCATTTAGATGCTCCTTCGCAGCTCTGGGAGGGCGAAAGTAATCTCAGAAGGTGGCGTGCATGCCAAGGAATGCCTCCCTCACTGGTGCTAAATGCAAAGTCAGCTGAAGGATGATTGGTATGTTGACCGCTGGAAGAAATGAAATAAGAAGTGACAGACGCAAAGGGCTTTGCGGGAACGATTCAGCTAAGTCACTTCCTCCAAGCTGCTCCAGATGGCAGCGGCCCCCCCCTCCATTCATGGGCCAATTTACTCTCATAGTCTGCTAGTGCTAAATCGGAAGCTCTAAATTGCAAGGAAGAAATACCAAGCCTTCCCATACTAATCCCTGGAGGCTCATGGTGACTGCGGCTAAAGGAGTAAGTGAACATATGCAGGCAGGCAGCCTTTGCAGCACACGAACTAGGTGTGAACACGCAGCACACATAAATACACACAAATGATACAAATATACAGGAAAACTGTGCCTCAGTAACTCACACTGTGTGACAACAAAAGCTGAATCCTATGACCCGGCTACATATGCTCATTTGCATATGAAGCTAATCTGCACATTCTCTTAGTCTGCAGATGTCTGTCATTTTGTGCATTATTTCTGCCCACTTTTCCTGATAGCCACAGGGAGGGTGCATGGTGCTGTATGAAGCCCTTCCCTTCAGTCTCCAGAAATCCCCACCAGCAGCACCAAATTACCCCATTTCCAAGCAGACCTTCACAAGAATAAGGGCCAGTAACTTGCTGTAAAAATAGAATACAGAACAAAATTGAAATGAGTTCCTGAGGAAGCTGCATCGTCCTTGCTCCTAGTCATTGTATTCTGCTGGCTTTTCCGTCACCGCCACAGCACCGTGGTGTTCAGGGAAGTCCTGGGAATACCCTGATTTTTCATTTGCAATTAGCAGCAAAACAGAAGAAGAGGCTTGTGGAAGTTCAGCATGAACACTCCTAGGGAGCCTTCCAGGGTGAGCCTTTAAGGAAGCATGGAGAAAGTGGGCAAAGAACCAGCTTTCTCCGTATCCCTTAAGGTTACTTTCCCCCAAGCTGCTACGACAGCTCCCTCATTGCTTTCTGTGATACAGGACTAGACAGACCTTTGGCGTATCCAACAGAGCTTTCTGTGGTGCTCAGGAGCAATTCTCCTCTGATACGCAATACTTTAAGAAAAAAGTGGGAGTAATTCAACGCTACCTAGCTTTGGGATTCTACTCCAAATGGACAAGACCATCCTTACCGTAAGGCAAAGTGAGGCTACTACCTAGGTGGCAAATGCTGAGGGGAAGCAGCGGCTTCCTCCTGGCCTCAGGCATGGTCAAGCTTCCTCTTACGTATCACCAGTGCTGAAGGAAGTTCCTCTACCTATTTGGTTGCCTTCTCTATGTGGCATGGAGCACCGGGGTGGCTACCATCTCATTCTTTACCGCAGGCAGTGAAGTATTTTGCACATTTCCATGGGACTGAAGTAGAGCCACTTTCCCTCTTTTGCTGAGACAGAAAATATCCTTTTTAAGTTTGAGCTTAGCAAGGTTCTGCGTTTCCCAGCTATCGACAAGGGCCAGCATATTGCTCTGCTTTCTTCCCTCTGAGAGGCATGGAAAATTCTGTTGCTGGATTTTCCAGAAGCAATGCCTGTAATGTCAAAGAAATGCCACAAGCTGCATGCAAATAATGCAGCTCCAGCTCTAAGCAGCAAAGCATCAGGAAATGGCTTTCTCAGATCTTCCACTGATCAGGGCAGGCAGAAGGCCAGCAAGAGGAATATACATGCACAGAACTGTGTGCGTGTGTCCTTGCAAAAACCAAGACCTCACTGGAATGGAATGTTTCCCAGCCCTGCTCCTTCCCCCAGCAAAAGGCCCTGGTGTTGTGCCGCAGAGGTTAATTCTAGTTCTTGCACCCTTATATGTACCTTGTTGCTCTCCCAGTCTTCAAGCCTGTGTTTCCCAAGTTCTCTGCATCGTTTTCTCATGGTATCTGTGGCCTGCCAGCACACAGGGGTGGCTGGGAAAGGACTGAAGTTTCTATAAACCCAAGAGATACTAGGTTTTAATAACTGTGCTTGGAAAAGGATAACGACAGCCCGGTTTGATGAACATCTGGACAACGGACCTTCTTGCTTACATTGGTGACCCCTCACCCCTTCCCCGCAGGTTTATCTGCCACTAGCGGAGGTCCTAGGCAGCCAAGACTTATCTGTGCTTGCTTAGCTACTGCTGGCCACCTTCCCTTTAAATATTCCATAATGTTCTAGTGTTATGACAGGAGCAGTGAGGCTTATTAAAATGGGAAACAGTTTGTGCAGGGGTCCAGAGCCAGCATCAGCAGTGGCTCTGTCCCCTACCCAAAAATACCAGCAGCCCTGGTTAGAATGTGGCAGGAACCAGCAAATCCTGTGGATTTTGGAGGGGTGGGTTGTGTTGTGTCAAAGGCTCCCTCACAGAATCTTGTCGATGTCATATGTTACAAATAAACTAAGTGTTTGCTTTGGGGACTTGCACTGACCTGTGTAAACTTTCCATAGACTGCAGAGACGTTGCTCGGGAAGATGTTCAGGTCTATGAGTTGAATGCTTTCTTTCTTGGGTTTGTCTGTAGAAGGATGGACTGCTATCTTTTTCCTGGCTGTATCTCTGTGCCTTGAACATTGCGCAAGTAGTAAGGAAAGCACCATGGGATGGCGGGGTAAGGAAATACACAGTTGCTTTAAGTGTCTCTTCAGACCAAGGTAGAAATATCTTGGAATCCAGTGTTGCATTGTGCAAATTTCTGGGGAAGGACGTTCTAAGAGAGTTCTTAACAGCAGTGCATTGTGGAATTCACCACCACATGACGTGATATTAAAAGGGTATCAGATAAACTGTGGGCAGTAACGCTGTTAAATCATGATGGTTATATATTATCTCCAAATCTGAGGTACTGTCTCTGAATACCAGGAGCAGTGAAAAAGGATTAGAACAGGATGGGTAGAATACTACTGCGCTCATGTCTTGCTTGTGGGCACCCACTGTTGGTGTGCACTTGTCTGTTAGAGCGGCCACAGTCCTCGATGCGCTTACTAGAGGGAGTAACTCTCATTCAAATCAGTGTAACTTTCTTCCAGGGAAGCCTACAATGCAGAAGGCCGCCCACTGCTCCAGATTTGCTCAGCAGCCACGATGTTCCCTGGGGCTCATTCCCATCTTCTTTACAGGCTAACTGGGAAAGAAGGCCTGCTTGAGTCCCGCGGAATTTCCTTGCTAGCCAGTGTCTATCTTCTTGAGAATCTAAGACCTGCCTCACATTTCCAGTAAGCTTGAACGGGTCCCCATCCTTCAAAGAGCCCCATCCTTTAGGCATATTTCCTTGGGAGTAAACCTGCTGATGTCCATGGGGCTTCCTCCCTGTCAAACAAGCCTGCCCCTTCTTTCTCTTGGCAGGAAAGCCTCCCTTGGACAGAAATGAGCGTCCCCGCTCCGCGATTTCGGAAGGGTCACATCTACTAAGAACACCCCGCCGTGACCGGAATGATGCTACACGCGTGCCACAAGGTCCTTTCCCTTTCTTTAGCCTCCCCAAGGCGCCAGCTCTCTTGGAGGACGCTCGGCCTCCCGCCCTTGGTGTCGGGTGTGGCGCGGAGGAGGATGCGGCGGCACGGGCCTTCTCCCGTTACCATGACAACTTGCGCCGGCGGTAGAGTCGAGGGCCGCCTTTCCCATCCGGGACCTCCGCGTGACATCAGCGCCAGCGGGCGGGGCGGGTTCCGGTATTTCAGGGCGGGGCGCGGGGGCTGTCGGGAGAGGAGGCGCGGACGGATTAGAGAGCAGGCCACGGCGGGCGCAGTGTGAGCGAGCGAGCGAGCGAGCGAGGGGCCATGGCCGGGGCGACCACCATCGAGGCGGTGAAGCGCAAGATCCAGGTGCTGCAGCAGCACGCGGATGAGGCCGACGAGCGGGCCGAGCGGCTGCAGCGGGAGGCGGAGGCCGAGCGCCGCGCCCGGGAGCAGGTAGGCGGTGCGGGGAAGGGATGGAGGAGCAGGCTCGGGAAAGCGGCCGCTGCTGGCGGAACGGGGGCAGCGGCGGTGGGGTGTCTCTACCCAGGCTCCCCTGCGGCTGGCCGCCTTCCCAGGATCTCCGATGGACCGGAGTCGTCGTCCTCCAAGGCCTCGGGCTCGGCTGGGCGTGGCATGAGGGGTCTCGGCTTCCCCGGATCCTCCGCGGCTGGTCGAACCGCTCTCGGGCCCTGGGCTGAGGGGAGAAGAGGCGGTGCTGCTTTCCAGACATGGCTGTGGCTGGCGAAGTGATTCTTTGAAGTTGAGGTGTGGGAGGAATGGAGCGCTGCTTCCCAGAATCCCTTGGGACTTGCCGAAGTGGCGCTCTTAAGCTTTGGGCTGGTGGTAGGGAAGCGGGTGGCACTACCCAGAATCCCCTGTGGCTGGCTACTTTCCAGAATCCTCTGTAGCTGGCCAAAGAGCTTTTCCAGTGATTCTGGCGGAAGGGGAATGTGTTGGCCATATAGTCTAGATTGTACTAGTCGATAAGCTTGGAATACGTAAAGCTTAGCCTTTGGGACCTTGCTGGGTCGTATATTCAAGGGTTTATCTGGTGCAGCGTTCTGCTCCCCATAGTGACCCCAATAGGGTGTTTTGGGGGTGTGCTGAAGTAAGGGAAGCGGTTAGTGCTCCCCATTCCTTGTATACCTCTTCAGCTGCTACTGTTTCAAAGGCTTCTGAATGTAGGAGGTTTACCTGTCTTGGCTGTTAGGCGAAAGAGTCTGTCTGCACAAGCATCTGAACAGCATTGTGTTCTTCCACTGTGCCTAATTCCCAGCCGTGTGCTTCTAGGAAGCCTGTGTTCTCAGCCATCATGGTTCCCTAGAGTGTATGGACTACTGTGCTAGATTAGTGCTCAACAAGGGGTTCAAGTGCCAACAAGCCCACTTCTCATCTTCAGCATTTAATGCATAAATGTAGATTGCTTTGAAGGCTACAGGTTGTATTCTGAGCCATCATGACTGGGAACTGAAAGTGAGCCCAACTGGGTCAGATTAGGAGCCCAAGAGCCTATCTTGTCTAGTATGCTGTTTTTGACAGTGGCCCCGTTTTCCCCCTGTTCATTGCTAGCAAAATCTGATATTCAGGAGACATCCTGGCTGTGAATATGGCAGTGACATTTAGCTGGCTGCATATGCCCCATTTCAGATTGGCGATTCAAATGAATTGATGTGCAGTTAATATTTCCTGAGGCAGTGCACGACACTCGTAGACCTGTTTTAAAATGTGTCACTTTGTTTGAACAGAGAAGGGATAGTGCTGGGAACGCCTCTACCCTTTGTCCTTCCTCTGAAAAAGTGGGAAGGGTGGCATGCTATCGGAAGAACTGGCTTGGATCCAGGGTCCATGAAGTCCAGCATCCTGTTTCCACCGCTGGCTAGCCAGTTGGGTTGGGAAGGCCCCTAGCAGGCCGATAAGGTGGTAGCTCTTTCCTGTTTGTCTTGGGTTCTCTCGTTATGAATTTAGCTTCATGAATGTGTTTGGGTCACCCCCTTAAATAAGTGGTCCCAGGGGTATTTTCTGATAGTGAATTTAAACGTTTATTGTACACTGAAGGTAAGAGTCAGTAAGATGAATTGTGCATAAGGGAATGAATGCGGGGTGGGGGTCAGTGGTCAGAACATGTAGGGAAATTTTTGGCATGTATATATGTGTGTCCAGCTGGAGAATCTAGTCTCATTGCTGGCTACTGGAGGGAGCATTTAGCAGAAGCTCTTGAACCTTAAGGGTGGGTGGGAGAGCACAGCTCCGTGTGAGAGCACTTCTCTGCACCCAGAAGGTCGCGGGTTCAATCCTGGGATCGCCAGGGAAAAAGAATCAGAGCTTGGATCTTGATTTTCATGTGCTTATTCTGCCCAAGGCTGCTTCGGGGAGCTGTTGTGAGTTGCAGCAGAGAGCCCTGGGTGCCATATAAGGCAAGGATGCTGGGAGGAGGGCATATGGGAGTGTTTTGAGAAAGAGATAGTAAGTGGGGTTGCGTGCAGATGGGTGGGTGAGCAACATGAGGATGGAAGCGATCTTAAGGCGCTCGGTGTTGCCCCGGGTGCCACGCAGGGGAAGGAGATGGCTTGTGGGAGCTGGTGGGAGGGGGCTGCAGCGAGAGGAGCAGTTGCGGCTGAGCTAGGGAGGGGCCTCGTATCCGTACGATTTGGCTACGATTTGGCGGCTGCTCCAAGTGGTGGTGGGGAGTAATTCACAACGGAGCCTTTCCTTTGTGTCGCCTTAGTGAGCATGGTGGCGGCATTTTTTTGGGTTACTTAAGAAGGGCGTTTCCCGGAAAGCCAGCTCAGAGCGGCATCTGGGTGGCGACTAGAAGCCGCCCTCCTCCAGGAGAGGAAGTGGCAGTTTGCGGCCGGAGGGGAGTTGACTTGACGTCCGCCTTCCCGCCTTGCTGGCAGGGGTTGGGATGGGGCACTGGAGTTAGGAGGGGGGAGCCAGCTAGTCTGGACTCTGCTGAGGGGAGTGTGACAAACTCCATCCCCGAACACTGTGCAGAGCATGTCACATGGCTTTTAGGGAAAGGCTCGGGCATTTGTAACGGAGAGTGCTTTCTCTTTTCTCGAGACGGGAAACTTGGTTTCTTAGCATCGGGTTGGCCAACTGGCCTCCCGCTACTCCCTGAAGTAATCTTATCTCACTGGGCACTGATTTGAGACCCCCTGGGCCCCTTTCTGTGGTAGCCCGGCAGTGGTGGGTTGAGGCTTTCAGTGGGTGGTAATCTGTGAACTTTCCTTGTGCTGAGGAACTCTTGCAAGCTGCCCAGGAGAGGCCGCATGCTTGGCCCAAGATCCTCCCTGCATCTGTTGAGGGATCAGGAAGGCTCTGTGGGAGTTCGCAGCTGACCTTCTCCCTATATAATTTGCAACACAGATCAGCCAATGATACAGATCCAGCCTGCGAGGTGCTGCCAGCATAGTTTTACTTCTGTGCGCCTGGGAGTTCTGGTTTGGTCAGAGATGGCGCTTTTCTTGGCACTGCTGTTAGCAGGGGACTGAGCTTTGCTTGGCTCGCAAGTGCCTGATGATCCTCAAACCTGAGGGCAAAAACTTCGGAGCTGTTGCTGCTTCCTCGGACGTTCCCACATGAGATTTACAAGCCCCCCTACCTGGTTCTGGAGCCCTGGCCTTGCCTGCCCTCTTTTATTGCAAGTAATAAATTTGTCATGCCAGTGACCCCTGGCTAGGTTTGCCTGTAGCGCTTGATGGATGCTATCAGTCATCTGTACTCATAAGAAGCTACTATGTGCCATACGGTGCAGAAAGCATTTTCTACTAGTCCAGGAGGAACAGATGGATATGGAGAGAGCTTGTAGCCTTCGCGCATAAACAAGTGGAGATATTCCCAGGGCGTGGCGGGGAGTCCCATTTTATTTGAAATGTAGCCTGAGCTTTTTGCCCAAAGCTCTGTATAAGAAGCCACCAGTGTTTAAGAATTGGTGCAAGGAGGGGTGATGATGGCTTACTTATGGAATGCCCCCCTAGAAGAAATCGACCTAGTCCCTCCCTCACATTCTTTCCAGCACAAAGCAAAAGTCTTTATTTCCCCCCAGATGTTTGGCTGCCGTGTGTTTTTAGTTCCTGCCCCATCCTATAGTTAGTTTCTCAGTGGGTTCTGATGTTGCATAGCACACTTGGCTGTTCACTAATCTTCTGGATGAAGGACAGAATGCAGTGGGCATAGATAAATGGGCCTCTTGCTTTCTCCCATATTTAGACTCTTTAAATTTTCTTTCCATCCCAGATGTGGGCAAAGTGGCACATTTTGTCAAGCTCTGAAGCAGAAAAATAAGCCGAGCAAGCATGTTGCCTATCCCTAGTGTTCACATGTTCTTAGTCAGGGATGCTGAACCTCTCGCAGCCTGACTTCCAAGTTCTGTTTTGGGGAAGCTCTCAACAAAGCCTCCATTCACATGGTAGGTGCTCTCAAAGACAAAAGGGATGGAGCCTCGGTCTCTAAAATGAGGTATTTTAGCTTAAAGCCCTTCGTGCTGGTAACCAAGCAATAGGAAATGCATTTCAGCCTTTTAGAATGGCGTGTGGGTGGACTGCTTAAAACCCGGAAACTTCCAACCAATTGTGGGCCTTGGGGAAGGGGATGGGGCTGTTTGTGGATGGAGGGAGGGACTGCTAGAGGGCCAGACCCATATCTGTTTTGAGTAAGTTTCCCAAAGGAAGCTGACTAGCTACTTCGGGAAATCAGAGTGATGGACCTTTAGTTTGCATTGTACTTGAGTAACCCACGCTGCGATGTTTCATTCATTTTTTTCTGGGCGTAAATACCACTGGACACAGCGGGATTGTGAGTCAGTTTGGCTAGGTTTGCCTGGCCGAATCCTGGAGAATTGCTGTGGAGCTCGATATGCCCTGTGCAGCAGCTGTGCCTTCTCCTCTCTGTCTTGCCCCAGGCCCTTTAAACTGTCCGCATCCCAGTTGGGGAGTGCTTGACAGAAAGGAAAGAACGAGTGGGTCGCCCTCCTGCAAGTTGTCCATGTGGTGCTACCTCCGTTCTGTTACACGAAGCTGTTTTTCCACACCCTTCCAGGCTGCTGCCCTACATTGCTGTACTTACTGTACATCCCCAGAGGGCACTGGGGCAGGCAGTGCTTCTTCGGGCTGTTAGTGAGCCAAGCAAGGGCTTGCTAAGTGGACCGGATTAACTTGTGAGACTTAATTCCGTCTCCACACACCCCCACCCTTTCCCAGAAGCTTTTTGACCTCCAAGCTTTTGACTTGCTGGTGCTGGTACAGAGGGCCTTCTGCCCTCCGGTTGTAGTCTCACCGGTACTATAGGAGAAGCTATAAGGATTGATTCCCTGACGCAAAGCAGCTTTGAGCCACTTTGCCACCATTTATGAGATGCATGCCAAGACCCTAAATTGGATAGCAAATGCATGTAATCCTCCTCCTCTCTCTCCGCCCCCACCACTCGGCCATTGAGTGCAGGATAGGAAGAGC